CAAGTTATTTATTTATTAGCTTAACAAATGAGTCTTACCCAACTTACTAACAAATATATCTAGCAAGTTTTTTCGAGCTCATAAACAAGCCGGCCTATCAAGCATTTTTTGGTTTAAAAAAGAGTAGTTTGTCGAACTCGAAAAATTAATTTTTTTTTAAATTTAGCTTCTTTTTGAACGCTCTGAACAAATAATCTGACAAACATGAATATATAAGCTGATTAATAGATGTTATAATACTTAATTCATTTTAAATTTAATTATTTAATTATTATTATGTTATTAATTTATAATAAATATAAAACATTCATATTGGGTTGTTCATCATAATATTCATAACTAAATTTAATCAATCTCCATATGGAAAATTAATCTAGTTTCTTAATAAGCTTGTTCACAAGCTCTATATCAAACATAAATTGAGCTTCTTATCGAACTTGTTCACGAACTTTAGATGAACTTACTGATATTATAATTATTTTATTTAATATTTGAGTCGACACCAACACTATTCAAGATTCATTCTAATTAAAATCCAAACAAAAATATTGACTATGCATAAATTTGGCATCTTAATAGGACACAACAGAGAAAAAGATTCATGTAGCTGACTCCATATAGTGAGATAAAAGTTTGATAATGTTATTGTTTTAATTTTAGTGAGTAAAAATTATTTCAATTTAACTTATTAATCATTTTCCGTATTGAAACTTCCGTTGACTAGTATTTGATAGTATGATTTGACTTGTTAAAACTATAAATTAAGGCTTCATTTGGGACGGCTTTCTTACTGTTTCTTAAATTAGATTTTTAGTATAAAAATTCTAATTTTTGTACTATAAAGCTAATTTAAGAAGCAGTAAAAAAACCGCCCCGAACGAACCCTAAATTTGGAAAATTAAATTTTTTTGGATGAATAAGATTAATATGAACCAATAGCTCAACAGAAAAATTGTAGACTGGAAAGTAGCATATCAATGGTAAAAATAAATTTACTGCAATAAAAAAAATAAAAATAAAATAATAAAATAATTTCACTGCAATGAATATGTTGCTAATGCATTCTCTAATCAATAGATTGAACTTTCAGAAAGTCGAGCGCTAACAAAATCTTCTTATTTACTCATTTTGCTAAGAAATATGCTGGTGAAACTAAAATAATGTAAAGAGCTATTTGGAATTGGATTACTTTAGTTAGGTTTTAAAGTATTTCAAATACAAGAATTTTATAAATTTTGGTGTTTTGTTGGAATACAAAATAATGCAAAGTAAATTATAGTAAATGTAATATATGATTTTGAGTGAAGAATGTTTACATCACAAGCTTGTTTGGCCGCCACTTTCCACTGGTCCCCTTTTGCTCCCTGCCGCCGATCGTCCGCTTTCGACATTTGCCGGCCACCACTACCTCTTGCCACCGCTACTGCCTACCACCGCCCACCGCTTGCCCGCCGACCACCGCCACGAATGCCAGCCACCGCTTGCCGACCGCCATGGTGGCCATCACAATTTTAGAATTTACTCTACATTCATTACTTCTAACCAAACAAAAAAAAAATCATTCACCTACATTTACTTTACATTCATCCAAACAACTCCAAAATATTTATTTTATACCGCATTCCTTTTTTAACCAACCAAACAGCTCCTAAGCCTTTTTTCCTAAAATGTCAAGGATCTATCAATGTCCATTATCTTTTATATTCATGCCCAAAAAAGCTTGAAGCTCTATACTGTTATGCACAAATTTCTTTTAAAACCAATTTGCATAATAAAATTGATAAAAATATTTTACATAATGCATAGAGAAAACTAAATTTGGCATAAAATAATTAAGCTATCATCTCATCTATAACTAGAATGTCAAATGAATATTTATAATTTTCAAAAATAAGTTGAATGTTTCTATCTCATAATTGGAAAAGTACTGATTTAAAAGTTATTAAAGAATTTTGATATATTCTCAAAAAATTATCTTGATCGAGCACGAATCTCGAGGCAAAATCGAACCAGAATCTTCAAAAATTAAATCCGGGAACACCTGAACTCCGATTTCTACGAGCTTATAGTCAAACTGAGTGTTCGGAAATATGAACGCAACGACACCAAATTCAACTCAATCCGAGCCCAAATCAAGCGCCCGAAGCGCTGTTGGAAAGCTCGTACCACAATTTGAGTTACCAAACTGTCTTCGATTTTAATGAGCTTATAGTCGAATCGAACGGCTCGACGAGACGAATCCAACTAGCCCAAGATCGCCGAATTCCGACATCACTAAGACCTTCAAATATATGACAAACGGTGCACGATCCAAGGATTCAACATCAACCGTCCATTCGGCCACTCCCTATTTGCCCCTGGTCTCACACCTATTTGCGAACTATGCCACTCCAGAAAATCTATAAATAGAGCCCTCATTTCTCATGAGAGGCGACCCAAGCAAGAAGAAGCAAGAAGAAGAGAAGAGAAAGAGAGGAGAGAACAGCTCCTCCTCGACCACCGCCAGAGTTCTTCCCGTCGTCAGAACGACGCCAGAATCCCGCCAGGCGCCCGACTGACGCCGGAACTCTGTCCGACTTTGTAACTGAATTTCAATTCAGAAGAAACTCATTGAAATCTGATCGTCCTAACTTGTTGGACGAATCAGCCTCTTGTATCTATCTCAAACTATACTAGTGAAACTTTTCATCTGGGCGTGGCCCCGTGATTTTTTCCCTTTTCAGGGTTTTTCACGTAAAAATCATGGGGTTCTTTTATCTTCTGTTTGTGTGTGCTAGATATTCGTATACGGTTAAAAATTTTCTAACTCTACCGCCTCGTATATTCTAGCCCGCAACAAACATAATACACTGAACACCGCTACCTCTCTCTGGGTTTCACTTAACGAGTGTCTATATTTGTAATACACCAAATAACTTACTGAGAAATTGAAATTTACATTGATCAGTTTCAGTTTACATAATCTTGATTGTTGTTGTATTGGTTAAATAAGTAGAGTGGATAACAATAACATCTGAAAGTATAACAGGTAATAATTAGAAACCTCTATTGTTTGTTGTCAAAATGGAGGAGAAACATTTCCCTTAAATATATCACAAAAAGGTCGTGACATATATGTGGATATCATGGCTAGTTCTAAAACGTTAGTGATCTCATAATTGTATCACACAAACAAACACTTGCAGAAAAAAGTTTGACATTGCAGCTTGCCATTAATGTTAACTGAATTTGGAGCCCTCATGATAAATCCTTGATGAATAGAAAGGACATCAATAGAAAGGGCATGTCGAGATGGATTCGCCACCACTGGAACTCTCTAGCATGGGCATTGTGCATTCAAGATGAGAGATTATTATGTGCGGAGTCTGGACCGGAGAACCGTCATGTTTTTGTGAGTGTGCGCAGTAAAAGCAGAGTTATTGTTCACCGCTGCGCTTTTATTGTGTTTTTACTGCGCACACTCATAAAATCCGGACAGAGCTTGGGTCCGGACTCCGCATGTATTAACCTCTCATTCAAGAGAGAAGAAAGATGATTGGCTTGATATGACTTATTCATCTTTTTTTGATCCATTTGGCCCAAATGTGCTCCAACTCAATTCAATCAAGTATAAGCTCCATCAAACTTGATCTTCATGTCAACAGGAACATATATAGTTGATTCGAGCATGATGGGTGGACTTTTGTGGATAAAACCCCCTATTTTTTCTCCTCCATTTTAAACCTCCTCAAGATTTTCATGCTTGTCACAAAAAAATGCTAAATTACTCGAGCAAAATGCAACATAATTATATATACAAATTATGAGCTAATGACAACTTAATTAATGCTATTTTCTTTAACTAGCTAACGGTACAAAAACTTCGAAGATCTACAACCATTACAGTCACATCATCTCTATTGCCTCTACTGCATGAAATCTCCACAAGATCTTTGCAAGCTTGCATTGAGTTCTTACGCTGTCTAACTACATCCACTGCCTCCTGATTGCTAACCTACCAAACAAAAAAATAATAAAACGAGATTAATTTACTTTATGCTAATCTTGATTAGTCAATTAAGCTCAAAAGCTTAGCAAAGTTCTTAGCCAAACCTTATCCCACAAGCCATCAGAAGCCATTATCAGAAACTCACAATCTTTGTTCAGTTGAATTATTCTAGTCTCAGGCTCAGAAATAATCCATTTCTTCATGTTGACATCTCCAATAGCCCTGGAAATTGCTAATGAGTCCTGGACTCTCCACACTCCATTATAGCAGCTCACATAGCCTCCCTGAAATCATCATGAAGATAAAATCATTCAATATTATTTGGATAACAATCTTTATTAGGGAACATCAATTATTCATATAATTTTAAGGAGATTTTGAAATGGTAAGAAATTAATTACCGAGTTTTCGATTCGAATCCTTTCGTCTTCTCTTTCAGGACGGTGATCGCTGGTTAGAACATCAGCAACTCCTTTCTTACTCATGACTACTCTACAATCACCGGCATTCGATACATGCAATTTTCCATCCTTTATCAATATTGTAGCTACACATGTTCCACTGCTTACACCCTGTTAATTGGAAGTCTAATTAGTTTCTGATTATAGAACAAAAACAATCCAACCACTCATTGAATTGCTATGACCAAACATTTAGGCTTATTGTTCTAAACAATTCAATACTAAATATCTTACTGTTATTTAAACCAACTTTTTAGTGCAAAAATTATAATTTTTGAACTAAAAATCTGTTGTAAGAAACAGTAAAAAAGTCATATCAAATAAAACCTGAATTAAACAATGTTTCGTACTAATTCAACAGTTATGTGTAATGGGATGTCAATGGGACTAAAGAATCCTTTAGATTCTATGAAAATGGGAACAAATGAAGGCAAGATTCCTTCAAACAACTAAAGCTTCAGCTGCTAATTAGGTGAGTTAAAGCCATTGTTACACCTAATAACAAAGTTGTGATTTTGAACATATTTATTTCCATGCACCATCCCTTCAGTCACACTAGCATATATCACAAACTTGGAAAGCACATTGAGAATATTTAGATTATGATAGGAAAGGATGCAATTTTTTATAAAAGTGATTATAAAGCTATTGTGAGGAAAGTAACTTTTTTGAAAGTTGCTTTAAGAATCAACTTGCTAGTACGAAATTTTTTTTTAAAAGTTGTTAGAAAATAATAACTAAATAGAATTTAGTGATAAATAAGATGAATTTGTTTCATGCAATATAACAAAATCATAGTGACATAATTACAACATAGGAAGTCAATATCATATTTAGATTTTGTTTGGAATAACTTTTTAACATTTTATTTTTTAGACCGCAATCATAATTTTTATTTGGCAACATATATTCTTGTGCTTTTAAAAAAAAATTAGACTAAAAAATTACTCCCTACAATAAAAGCAATAACAAAGTCCTCACAAACAAGAACTTTTATTTGGTCCAGTCACAGGACGTAACTCTACGTTCGGCCGCCAGTAGAATCGCGCCACGCGTTCTTACTATTTACCGCGCGCCCCGACAACCCGACCAGGAACGGACCCAGGATGGCTCGGTATTTCTCGATTTTGCTAGTTATTGCTCAGTATTGCTCGGTATTGCTAGGTATTGGTCGATTTTGCTCGGCAATAACCAATACTGAGCAAATACCGAGCAAATACCGAGCAATACCGAGCAAATACCGAGTAATACCGAGCAATACCGAGTTGTACCGAGTTTTTCTAGAAAAATTCGGTACAACTCGGTATTGCTCCGTATTGGTCTTCACAGAGCGGTATTTCTTGTTATTGCCGAGCAATACCGAGCAAATACCGAGTAATACCTCGCGATACGCGAACATACCATTCCTGGGTTCCAATCCGGGTCAAGTCGTCGGGCTGCGCGGTAAAGAGTAAGAGCACGTGACGACATGTTATTGGCGGCCAAACGTAGCTCTGCATCCGGTCAGAGGGCGTAATAATTGTTCCCCAGACAAAACTGACATTCATCCAATGGTTAATTATTCGTATTCTCATGCTTTACAGTTCATACCTGGCTAAGGAATTCTCGGTCTGTAGTCAAATAGGCCGTTTTAATTGCCGATTCCAACTTATCCTCTTCATTATCCTCTTTGACCTCTTCTAGAGCTTTTATTATATTATTTCCTAGCTTCTGGGAGACAAAGTCCACGCATGCCCTTCCACCATGCCCATCCAATACTCCAAACACCGCCTGAAAATCAATAAAACAAAATATTTGTTGAACAAAGATATACAGATCAGGAAAAAAAGATCAAGCTCTAGAGAAATTATTTTGTGTGGAGATCGGAGGTAGATTGTTGTCCGGAGACCAATCAGAATGCGTCATGTCAGCGGTATCTAGCAGTACCGAACCGCCGTACCGAATAAAGGGGTGACATGACGCATTCTGATTGACCTTCGGATGGCGCTCGGCATCCACACATAATTATTAATCTAATCTCTAAATGTCAAATTAGCTACTCTTTTGATGAAGCAAAGAGAATATTAAAAAAAAAACCTGTTTTGAATCTTCATGAATATTAGTGATGGCCACATATCCATCCTCCATCCTATGCCTTGTCCCTCTCCTACTAACCAACCAATAACCATTCCCCTCAACCTCCATCCCCCTCCCCAAATCCTCATCCTCCTTCCCAAACACCTCACCCAGCTCCGAGCCGACAACACCGCTCTGCGGAATCACTAACTTCATTGGCCTATTCCTTATCTTCCTCGCCGCAACCGACAAGCATTCACCTTCCTTCAACTCCTCTCCACCAAACCTCTCCACCTTCTCCACAACCACCTCCTTCGAAGCCGATGCCGGCGCCGTCAAATTCCTATCCTTTTTCGCCAATCCCATCGATACATCCCTTACCTTTTTCGACGCCGAGACCGGCATGTCGGCACGCCTCTTCCATGATAGAGGTGGATGAGAGAAAGAAGAGTTGGAGAAAACATTCATGAAGGCCTTCCTAAGAACATGAACGAGGTGTACAAGGATGGAGAGGAGAGTCCATAAGCAGTTCAAATCTTCCACCATCATCAAATCTTTTGCTTCTTCCCCTTCTTCTTCTTTGTTCAGTTTCTAATTAGTGATAGTTAAGTGGCTTGCGTTTTCTATTTTGGGATTTATAGGGAAAAGGGGGGAGGAAGAGGTATAAAAAAGAAGAAAGAAGAATAAGTCTATTTCCTGACTATTCCAAATAAAATGTTTTTTGAATATCTGGAAGGATTCAATGAATGTAGGAGACGTAGTCAGTCGGCTTTGCTTGTCGGCAGCGGCCGAATTGGTCGAGGCAGTGAGAACAAATTTTTGGCATTTAATGGCCGATTTCTTTCTTTCTTTTTGAAGAAGCTTAGCGCTAAAGACTAAAGTATAAATTTTAGGCACCAAACAATTAGGATAATATCAAAACATTTTATATATTTATATATTAACATATAAATCTTTTTATTTATTTATATACACTCAATTTTTTTAATCATATATAAATTTCAATATAATAACTATTTTTTGTTATTTTTTAATATTTTTTATAATGAGAATTTAATTACGAATAAACATGTTAGAATGGGAAGGGTGTAAGAAAGCTGACATCCAATCTTTTAAACTAAATTTTAATGCTCACAAATTTTCAATAATGTTGATTTTATTGTAGCAATTTTTCAATCATCTTTATAAAATATTCCAAGTACCTCAAATAACTCTTTAGATATTAAATTGATATATAAATAAATAAATAAAAAACTAGACGTTAGATATATGAATATATAAAAAATTGTGATATTTATGCATATAAATTCTCACTAAAATTATTTTTTGTTATGATTTTATTTGGCACAGCTTTCTTATAACTTTGTCTTTCAGACCATAATCACAATTCATGTTTGATCATTGTTTTTTGTTGATTTATATAACAATTTTTAAAAAGTTAAATTCTCTACAAAAACTTTATAAAGTAATAAAAAAATTATTCCAAATGAAGTCTAAAGCTCTCAAGCAACGTGCTTCAAAGTAATCTATTGAGTTAATACTAATAAGATTAATTATTAGTTTAATTTGCATTTTCTAAGAAGAGGATCTAACCACCAAGTATCATATCACAAGGCAAATGATATAAGCTAGTCAAGATCACATTCAAAGTTGTTAGAAGTTAGTTGATGATATGGGGATAAATTTTAAAAAGAATGACAATTAATCTTAATTAAGCGTGAGGATCATAATAACAATAAAATTTAATTATTAGCAAAAATATGAAATCATTCCCCCTTTTTTTAATAAAAGATGTGAGAAAAAAGTGAACATTAAATGCATACTTGCATATGCTTCCATAGATGTTTAGAAGGTATAAAAAAAAGTTTAGAAGGTAGGTCGTGAGTAATCTATCCTTTTTTGAGAATTCTTTTTGGATAAGACATCATTGCTCGTCTCGTATAACATCATGAGTAATATATTTGAGGTTGAGTCAAATTTAACAGGACAGGTGGAGGATTTTGCATTCGATGAGTTCTATGAGAAGGATGGGTTGAGCTTGTAACATGATCAACTTCTGGATTACATTGTAGGGGAGGTGGAGCATCAACACGATGATGAGAGTATTTTTCACGAGCATCTTCAAATTGTTCACCTATATTAATTTGATGATATTGTGGGAGGGAACTCCAATAATTTGTAATAACACTCTTTGTTTACCGGCTTCTTCAAATAAGTGTAAAATTCGTGCTTGCTGCTATTCCATCCTTCGAATTCAAGTTTTTAAGGTTAGAGATCGAGGCTCCCCCCATACATGACTAGGACATCCATGATAGCGAGATAGATTCCTAATTCGGTGAGTGTAAGAATGAGAGAATCAATTGTTGGTATTACTTCGATTAGTCATTGAAAAAGTATGTTGAGAATGAAATTCTCATAGACGACACCAAACTATTATGTATTAAAAATTTTATTAGAAATTTTGAGTCGATGGAGAGTATATTTTATGTCTCAGTGTTGTATAAAAATTCAGCATGCAAGGATTAAAGTAGCTAGATCAGAAATTTTTAATGGAAAAACCTATAAAGAGAAAAAATCACTAGGCCTAACCTAGTTGAAAAATTCACTATTTAGTAAGTGATCCAAGAATCCTTTTTTATTAATTGTTGAAGAAGAGAGGATTAAATAAATGCTTGATTTTTTCTTAGGGATATTATAAAAATCAAATATCCAAAGAGGAACAGTTAACACCCAACAATATGACTTGATTTATTTAATATGGAGTATAAAAAGCAAGTGTTCATAAGGGGACAACTATACTCAACACCAAGGTTAAATTTTGTCAGTATTCGGGTGATGGCGATGATTTCTGATGCTGATCGTCGATGATGATGGTGGTTGTCTGCAACAATAGCTAGTGGTGGTAGTTGGCGTCGATGGCTGGAAAATGCAATAGAGTTTTCTCTAGTTCTTTTATTCTTTCTCCTCCCCTCAAATGGGGAATGAGCTCTATTTATAAGCTTTTTTAGATAACCATTTTAGTAATTTGAACAAGAATTCATAACACTCGATGAGTAGCATCCGTCCCATCGCAAGCACCTACAATGTCATGATCATATTGGTTGACCCTTTTTTGGTAGTTCAACGAACGGTCGCCCCTCCAACAAGAAAAAGTAGAAATATGGAAACTTATCTGCCATTTGGATCGAGATTAAGACTGACAGGCTGTTTTGCTCTATCATCGTAGTAACAGAAACTGTAGCAAAAACTGCTTCAGAAATAATTAGAGCTGTGATTGTACGCACATCTTCATTCCCTTGAGCATATTTTAAGTATTTAAGTATCTTAATAATTTTGGAATTGAGTGATCTTGGACTGGTTGGATTCGTGTCTTCGAGCCGTTAGATTTTAGTATAATTATGTCTAATTTGGATATCAATTGTCCATCCAATTAGTATTTGAAGTTTCTAATCATATTTCAAGTGTTTGATTTGAGCTCATTTGTGCTCAGATTGGACCACCCTTGGTACCATTAGGTTCATATCATTGAGTGGTTTAGTTCAACTTTGAATTTATTGAAATTAAGTTCCTATGATTTTAAATTTAATTCTAGAAGTTTTCAATTCCAATTTTATCTCGAGATTCACGTCTAATTGTAGGGATTTTTGTAGATATTTCAATTACCATTCAATATAATTAAATTATTATATATTACAATTAAATTTAAAAAATAATTACAACTGAATTTTTAACAATCCTCTATTAAATATTCATAATATATTTTCTTTTCACAATTATATTTATAAATGCCTAATAATTAATTTTTATTTTTTAATAGTTTATTTATATTGATAAATAGCATGTGATGCATAAAATTAATGATATGCATAATGTAAAATATATGAGAATATTCTAATAAATTATTATTTTTTTGCAACTATAGCGTCATAAAGGCCTGTATTATAATATACAAATTTATATATATAATATTAATTATAATATTGAAATTATTGAACAAAACAAACCTGCTCGTAGTCCAGTTCTAGTCTTCTAGAAGAAAAGAACCGGCGGGGGCTGAGTGTACGCGAAAGGCTGAAACAGTCGCACGACAAATATTTCCGTGATAATTATCCGTTGAAAAAAAGAAAAGACTTAATCAATAAATATTTTTTTTAATTGAAACTTATACAAAGATTTAATTGCCGAGGAAAACCTGGTCCACAGGAATAAGTAAGAGCTGACGAGCGGCCACGTCGTCTCTGCATGGACGGCCGGATCTTCGACATTGAGCAAGGAAAAATATTTCAATTTATATTAGCATAAATTTGAAAGTTTTAAAGATAGGAGCTTTTTGGTTGAAAATAAAGTGCATGTAGAATATTTTTTTAAAAAATAGTTTTGAGAATATTGATGTTTGGTTGAATGAAAAAAAATGGAAAGTATAATAAATATAATGCAAAGCAAATTCGTCCAATTTTGAATAAAAATCATTTTCACTGCAACCAACTAATCATAGCCGTTGCCGCTAGCCATCGCTGACAACCGCCCACAACTGGTACCCGCTGCTGGCCATTGCCCAGCCTCTCCGCCAGCCGCAGGTCACCTCGTTGTCGGCCACCATCGTGATCGTTGACTTACCACCACCATTCTGGATTTTACAATACATTCATTTTATTTCAAACTCAAAAATAATAATTTTATGTATTTTACATTCATCCAAATAACTTCAAATATTTCAAATATAGTGCATTCTTCTTACTATGCAGTATGCATTACTTTTTTAACAAACAACATAACCCCTTAAATTGAAATTAATATTTTAGGACAAAATCAAGAATATTCAAATATTATTTAAATTATATAATATTTTTTGTTTTTTTATAAGCAAACTGCCATGGCATTTGGAGTTGGGTCAAGATAATTTTGTTTGGACTGTCAGATCATTGGATCAACATGAAGCCCAACATGAATCCCAGGCAACGTGAGGGTGGGCAAATGCCCACCCTGAAAAAAAAATATATTTAACAGAGGGGCTTTTTGGGGTTTTTGCCCCTCCTCAAAACAAATTGTTAAGCCCTAAAAGGACGCTTTGCCCATCCCGCACGGCCACACATCAGCTTGTTCGTAGGAGCGCCAGGAGGTCTTCGACACACGAAACTCCGACTCGTCGCCTTCGCAGAAAATCTCCTCTCGTTCCCTCGTTCGCAGTCGCAGGTTCGGGAATCATTCGCAAATTGCAAGGGTTGCCACGGCTTCGCTAGTTCGCTGCCACAGCCTTCGCTAGTTTTTTTTTTTTGAAATTAGACAAAACCCGTCCGCAAAAGTTACAAAGTGAAAAGAAATAAAACTATGTCATAAACTCCACAAAAAGGAGTAGGCACACAGAACCAAAAAAACTATAATGAAAAAGAAACAATTCTAACAAAACTTGTAAAGCTGATTACATAAGAGTGAAAGCCCAAAGACAACAGCATCAAATGCAACAACCAACAGTTGATTTAACAGCACCCAAAAATCCTGCAAGCTGAGGAAGCCAGGACTTAATGACATTCAAGCCATACAAAATCATACTAAGAAGACGATCAAAACCCCTTGTTGCCATCCATGAGGCTGCTTGTGTCAGGGAACACATCATTATCCATGGCTAAAAACTTCACAACATGCCAAAAAATAGGAGCACAAAGTAATCATAGTGAATAATTGGAGCCAGCCAGAATCCAGATGGCCTTAAAGAAGAGTCATAAGTCTTTC